TCTTCTTCTTCTTCTTCTTCTTCTTCTTCTTCTTCTTCTTCTTCTTCTTCTTCTTCTTCTTCTTCTTCTTCTCCTCCTCCTCCTCCTCCTCCTCCTCCTCCTCCTCCTCCTTCTTTCTTCCTTCTTCCTTCTCCTCCTCCACCGCCTCCCCCTTCTTCTTACACTCCCTGCAGGTATACACAATTCTTCTCTGGAAGAAACTAAGGATCCATGATGACTTTCCACTATAATCTTTGTTTACCTTAGATACTAACAGATATGTTTCTCCCTGGTTTATGAAGAGACATAATGGATATAAACTAATGTGGCTCACTGGGTAGATTATTGAATCTACTCTGAAAAGAAATAAAGGGGGATATAAAGAAATAGGATTAAAAGGTAGATTATTGAATCTACTTTTAACCAAAAAACTACTACTGGCTTTAAATATTTTACATTGGTTTGGATTTTTGTATATTGATACAAAATTGAGATTATTTTTGTTAGAACATACTGTACATACAATTCTAATCTTGTTATAAAACCTATAAAACTTATTTAACAATGTAAACCAAATGTCTAGCCCTTGAAAGCCATTATTTAGGGTAACTATTTAGGATAACAAGGAAATGCAGGTAAGCAATTAATCACCTATTACAGTTGAACTTGTAGTCGTATTAGTTATGTTTTCAAGGTCAAACAGGGATATATTTTAGATGGACAGAACATTTTCAAACACTTCAGAGATCTGCAGATTATGGCATTTAAGATGTTTTAATAACATAGGTTATTCTTATTTTTTTAGGACAATGAGACATGTCTGCTTCTGGCAGCATCAATCTACTTCAGAGAAGATGATGGGCATCAAAAGAACTTTCTTTGTGGCAAAGGTTACCTACTGGGTAAGAAAATATTCTTGCCTCAACCGCTGACAGTGTGCTATCCAAATTGGACAAGCAGGACAAGTTAGGAGAGTCCTTCAGAATATCCTGCTTCACAGAGAAATCTGTCAGATATGCTAGGCCTGTCGGCCAAAGATGAACGCCCCAATGTTATAGAGGAACCATGGGTGACTCCAGGCAGCCAGCTGTTTTTGTCATTTCTCACATTTTTTGGAAGTAGCTGCCTTGTACTTCCTGCTTATTCAGGTACTGTTATTTCCATTTTGGGTCTTTGATTGGATTGAGGATTTTATAGCTATAGTTTTAGTTTTCCTTGTTACCAGATTCAGAAAAGAAATTCACTGAAGAAATGTAAAATATATAATGTTGAGAAACATAAAAAAGATAGTCTTTTTGGTAATGCAAGTTAGAATAGAAAGTGAATTAGGTCCAACCTTTTGGACTCACCAAGGTAGGATAGATATGGAGTATTTTCTCTGAATTTGTCTATTGTTAATGGACTAGACATTGTTGATGCATTTATTGCTTGTATATATTGTAGCTATTGTATTTATTGTATATAGTTTCTTACATTAGTTATAACTTTTTAAAAATTTTTAGACAATAAAAGGGAAAATGTGATATTTTGTTTGTACAAATAAATCTTTCCTGATGATTAGAGGGCAGAGCTTAGCCACTAGCTAACCATAGAGCTCTGGATGTCTGTACAGACAGAGAAAAAATGATAAGGCTAGAAGAGAGGACGTGATATGGTTGGGAGGAGAGAGGAAGTGATAAGGCAGGAGGACAGAGGAGCTCAGTCTCTTGTCAACCGTGAATCTGAGTAGGTAAAGTGGCTGTGGTTTTGCTCCTTTGTCTCTCTGATCTCAGCATTTCCCCCAGTATCTGACTCTGGGCTTTCATTGTTAAGACCTATTAGAACTTGTGCTACACAAATTTTTGTTATTCATCTGAAATTTATGCACTTTAACTTTTACCTTGCAACCTTATACCTCAATAAAAATTGGTAACTAAATGAATAGATGCATGATGAGCAAATGGAGCAGTGGATGAGCAAAAGTTGATGACCAGGATCCTTATGCAAATGACACCCAGCAATCACAAAGCATCACAATCATGGCAGTCGGCCCTTCTGCCTTTTAAAATTCAGTCTGACTGTGACTTGAGTTTTGTAGCCAAGTTTTGTGAGCCACCTTTACACCATGTGCGAGTGTCTTGTCCCAGCAACCTTACATCTGAATTCCACACATTCCTGGCTAATTGTTTATTAGTTGTGCCAGTTGTAAAAGAAAATTGACTTTCAGTGGTGTCTGGAGCTCACTTATTCTGAAGTACACCTCTGTATCTTCCTTTAAAACTGTCAGAATTGTGCTTTTATTCCAGCCGAACCCTAGGGTTTTGAGTAAAGTCATTCACCTTGATTAAGCCATCAGGACCAATTCTGTTTGGGAAAAAAAATGGATATCTGGAATTAGATTTAGCGAGCAAAAAGTGTATTATATATATTTATGTATGTATTTATCACCCAAATTAATTTCACTACTGCTGGCCCCAAGGCTCTTATTCTTTTTCTTTAATTAAAAATGTTCCTATTGTATGTGCACAATGTTTGTGTGGAGGCCAGAGGACATCTCTGTGGAGTTGCTTCTGTCTATCCTCACAGGTATGGTGCTCTGAATGAGAATGGAACCCCTAGGCTCATACATTTGAGTGTCTGGTCCTCAGTTGGTAGAATTGTTTAGGATGATTTAGAAGGTATGGCCTTGTTGGAAGAAGTGTACCATCAACAAGGGCGGCCTTTGCGGCTTCAGAAACCTCATGGCATTCCCAGTGTCTAGCTCTCTCTGTCTTATGTTTGTGGATCAAATGTAAGCCCTCAGCACCAGCTCCAGCAATATGCCTGTGGTGTGCTCTCCCACCATAATGGTCATGGCTCTAACCCTCTGGAACTGTAAGCAAGACTCTAATAAACTCTTTCTTCTGTAAGCTGCCTTGGTTATAGTGTCTCTTCACAGCAATGAGAAAGCCATCCGAACACATGGGCTCCAAGATCACACTCAGGTCATCTGGCTTGACCAGCAAGCACCTTTATTAGCAGAGTCACCTTGCTGGCCCCGTTTTCTTTAGTCTTGATTGCCTAATCTTCTGCCTCCCTCCCCATCTCCTCTTTCTCTTTGGTTTTCTTCTCTGTTTTCCTGTGCCTCTACCTCTTCTTTCTCCTCTATTGGTTACCTTAAGCTCATGCAGTGGCACCTGGCAGGTTTATTAAGGCACAAGTTCCTGTGTCTCACCCCAGAATTTCTTATCCTATGAATCCATGGTGAGCCTTGGATTCTGCATTTCTAATCTGCTCCAGGTGGGGGCTGCTTCTAATTAACCTCTGAAATCCTCCTCAGGTCACTCTCCTGGACTGTTCCTTTTCTCAATCAGTATTTCATGTTCCTCAGAACAGAAAAGTATGCAGATGTTCCCTGACTTACAATGGAGAGCAAGTTTTTGAATCCCTGTTGTAAGTGGAAAAGACCACGTTTGAGGGGCTGCAGAGATGGCCCGGTTGTTAAGAGTACACATTGCTCTTGCAGAGGACCTGAGCTGAGTTTCTAGCACCCATGCTGGTTGGTTCATAACCACCCATAACTCTGGCTTTGGGATATCTGACATCTTTGACCTCCAAGGCCCATGTCACATGCACATGACCACCACCTCTTCGTCATTAAAACAAATCTTAAAATGTAAAAATCTTTTCTTTTTAAAGAAATAAAATGTCCATACTGTACTTATTATCCCCAGCCTATCTGGGCCATCCCAGATCAGCTGCACAGTAAACCATAAAGTATTGCTTCCCTAACAAAATAAAAGGCTGGTTGGGAGCTGCGACGTGGTGCATCTATCAGCATCAGGGGAGATTACTACCTTGCAATATTGCTAGCCTAGGAAATTATATCCAAGTTCAAAACACGAAATTTAGTTTCTACCAAATACGAATTCTTTTTTTGTCATTATAAAATTAAGAATTGTAGATGAAGCTACCATATGACAGGGACTGTCAGCAGCAGCCTCGCCCCTAGGTCCACGCCAGTACACTTTTGCTCTCCGTTGCTAACAGTTTACTCACACTTCCTGTTCAATGTAGTTGAGCATCCTGCTGACGTGGGATGAAGAGATCTCCCCATCCACTTCAGCAATATACGTGTAGAGAAACTGGAAGGTGCTGAAGGGGATCCGGGGTGGTCCTCCATCATGGTCGCAGGACAGCACTTCACACACTATCTTGAGGGTTTTGGCAATGGTCTAGAAAACGGTAAGACAAGAGGAGGAGAAAATCACTCTTCCTGGCTAGACCCCTGAGATCAGGCTAGACTCAGGAAAGAAAGCAAAGTCACTGCTCATGGAGGGTGGAGTGAGGATAACCCAGGACTCCAGAAAGCTAACATGTCAATCAACCCATTCATTCTAAACACACTGACTACCGCATGTCTTACCTTTCTTTCTGGGAGCAAATTCGATTTATAAACTGAAAAATACTTGGAGATATTTGTAAGTTTAATTAGAAAAACCTCTTCCAAGGAGAAGCGACTTTTCATTCTATAAAGTTAGCACTCTCCTGGGCCAGGGAGATGGTGGGGTGAGAAAAGAGGCTGGGCATACAAAGTTGGGTGACCTGAGTGTGATTCTCAGGACTCACATGTTGGAGAGTGTTATGGCATTCACATGCCTTCCCAGTGGGGAACCACACCAAGGGCACAGGGATTACTAAAGAAAAAAAGGTTTAGTCGGTGCAAGAGTAGTTCTGACTACTGCACAGAAGGGAGCCAGGCTTACAGCTCCCCAGTTACACAGTTACACAGTCCCCAGTTACATTGCGAGTAATTAAACATGCTCCAAGGCTTGATGCTTGGACAAGTGGGGAGATTTACAGTGTAAAATATTACAGTTATCTCAAGCCAGCCCAGGCTGCCCTTCCCAGGTAGGTGTCAACCAGGAGCAGAATCCTGCTCTCCCTGATAAGAGAACCGAGTGCTCCTTAGCTAAATTCTGTTCTGTGTAACTTAGCATTTCCTAAGAAAGTTTAGAGGGTCCTTTGAGACATCAACTTATTATTTCCAGTTTTTCCTAGACGAGAACCAACTCCTGCAACCTGGCCTCTGACCCTGTGCACATGCACACATGCATAGTGAGCAAAATGAAAAAAGAAAAGAAAATTAGAAATATTTATTAGCTTCCAACTTTATCTCCTAAAGTATAAAGCTCTCTCTCTCTCTCCCTACTTACCTATATAAATATATATAATAAATATCAGACACACACATACACCACACCACACACACACACACACACACACACACACACACACCTGGGGCAAAGTCCATAATAGGAGAGAGTTCAGGGAAGTGTACCATTTCTAAAGAGATAGGAGGCCCACAAGATAAACACCCATTCTTCATGAGGATCCACTTAAGTAAAACCATCTAATAGTCCTGGTTAGTTCTTATTGTCAACTTGACACAGCCTAGCGCTACCTAGAAGAGGGAATCTCAATAGAGAAATCGCTTTGATCAGATTGGCTTGTGGGCATGTCTGTTTTATGACGAATTGGTGTCGGAGGGAGGGCACAGTCTACTGTGGAGGCACCATCCCCAGGCAGGATGCCTTGGACTGTGTAAGAAAGCTCCTGACATCAATAATGAGTAGCCGTCCAGTAAACAGCATTCTCCCCTGGTTTCTGCTTGTTTTCCTGCATTTACTTCCTTCAGTGATGGGCTGTGGACATGGAAGTATAAAGCAAAGTAATTCTTTTCCTCCCCAAATTGTCTTTGGTCAGAGATTTATCACAGTATCAGGAAAATGACCTATTTTTGCGCGCGCGCACGCACACACACACACACACACACACATACACACACACACACACATACACACACACACACATACACACACACACACATACACACACACACACA